AGAGCATGCCGACATACACGATTGAAATTACTTTTATCACTAGTTATTTTACGAAAAAAAAAATCAAACAAAACAGAAATTCTCGAAAAAAACAATAAATAACGTTGACAGCTTTCCATGGGCAAATATGGTGCCTTGTAACTTATCTAATAGTTGAAGATCAAGTGTGAGAGGGATATCAGAGTAGAAGAATAGACAGGATCGTAGACTCAACAGAGGAGGGAGTTGAAAGGTGTAATTGACGTCTCAGTAAATGCAAGAAGCGTACCTTATTGTCGGCAATTTTTGTCAACCCAAGTTCATCGAGAATCTCGTTGATTTTCTCGTTCATTTCAGCTTTGGTGTGACCCTGCTTTCGACGCAACATTGCAGCAAGGTACAAGGTCTCTCTAACTGTCAACGTCCCCATCAAAATATCGTCCTTTAAAAGGAAAGTTGACCCGTTAACTCACCAACTCAATAAATAATAAGTCGTCAAATACTACGTAAATGCATTGTAGTGCTCTGATTTTACAAGTACTTAAGGCTTTGTAGACGCAACCCCAACGCACGACCTGTCCTACCCTTGGAGTCATGACAGGAATGCTTCATCCATTCTGTACGTCTCCAGGCCAGATTGACATTCATATACTGCCAGTAGTGGCAAGCAAACCTGATCGCAATAAACAACCACCTCTGAGGAATGAGGAACCTACAACAACTCCCAACGGAAGGTCTGAAAATATCGTCCACGTATGGCAATTCTCCAGTTGCGTGATCTACAGTAATGCTGTTAGCAGTTGAAGCAACACCAACCGCAAACCACCTGTAGATGTTCGCTGCAAAGCTGTCTACCGTACTTACATCGAGATACTAACAAAGTGAATTCGTCAAATACCCTCCATTTGCCAGCTGAGGAGAACACACATGAAAGCAATGGAGTAAAGACAAAGTGACAAGAAGGAACAGATGCGAAACTTTATCTCAAGCATCAACTGTATGCATCTTCCTTTGTTAAAAGTCTCTCCTTCTAAACCAGTGGCAATGAATACCTGCAATTGCTGGCACAGTACCCTTTCTCCAAACAAAACGAAATCCTGAATCCAGTGGAACTGTCACTAGGGTTCAGCGATGTGAAAATAAGACGCATCAGGATCAAGCAAATTCAGGTTGGTTTGCGAATGTTTCCCTTTATAGTAGCAGTGACTAAGGGAAAAGTTGACTGAAGGGAACGCTGAGGATGACGTTTCAAAGGGGGGAGAGAACATAGGTCATTGGAATGGTTATTAACACGTGAAGAGCACGACCACTGTGATCCTGCCCAGGTTTGATGTGCTACAGTAGGAGCACTCTAATTTTTGCTCTCTACTCGCGTTACAGTTGAACTACATGGAGGCGAAAGGGGATTTCAAGCGAAAAGCTTTTGTAAAATTCGCAAATTATGATAAGTAGTCAACGAAGTTTGGAAATACTAACCTGTACAACGTAGCCGGAGCCACATTTGAAGTTTTTTGGTTGAGGATGGCCGTCAATAAGCACTTCACCAGTGAGGAATTGTGGATCCTTCCGTCCTGCCAGAACGTCAAGAAGGCTGCGAACGCATAATTAGAAGCGGCTACACCAAATACAATGACTTTAGCTAATACAGCACAAATGTAGTACACTTACAAAAGGCATTAATGCTATAAACAGAGCTCTGTACCCAAAATCGGTGGAAGCTACATTTTAACGGGTGGCAACAACATTGGGGCCGAGTGAGCGAGTGGGTGTTAAGCAAGCCAATCGCAGTTCAGTGAACAGAAAACCGCTAGTTCAACCCAAATGACACACCCATACAAGAATAAGTAGGAAAGTAGTAAAGTCCACATTGGAGAACGACAAAGGCCTCAAGTGGTCTTACAAATGCATAAGACCAGTGAATCAAGTAAATTAGTAGTGCATTCCATGCAAAGGTGAGCTTTGTGGGTGAGATCAACACCCACAATGTCCACTAATACCTTACAAGTGAACCATAACGACAAAAAGCACAGAAGAACGCTTTTTCAAGTAAAGTGCTTTGACACAACTTACGATGACTTTCCGCAGCCTGTGGGACCCATGATAGCGTTTAACCCTGGACGCATTATCCCACTGTAAGAGAGGGGAAGAAGGTAGCGAAGTAGGATGCGGTGCTGCGGTAGCCAACATAAGGCCAGAGTAAGAGCACTAGACAACATGAAACTTAAAGATACTTGTGCTGCTTAGGTTCACAAAAAAGCCACCTTGTATTAATTGTAGAGACAACCCAGCGCCTACAGACTGTAATACTTTGGACAATGAACTACCACTACTTCTGTGCGACCATAATGTGGACAATACTCCGGAACATAAGAGAGAAAAAACTGAAGCCTTTCAAAATGCAAGTACAGTGGATAGGTTAGGTACCTGACACCAGTAAGAACGACCTTCTTGACGGCCTTACTGCAGGGCATTTTCTTAACTGGCACGACGTACTCCACATCACGAAAGGTGATCACTGAGCCTTGGATCATGGAGCGGGTGCTTACGACGCTGACTCCAGTGACAGAAGTGTCTCCACCTCCACCACGGCTACCACTCTTGTCCCACGGGTCAATGCCTGCACTCAGCGGTAATTGATGAAGGGGATCAGGCTCGGTAGAAGCAGTGACAGAAAAACCAATCTGACTGCCCCACGGACCTCGGCGTGAGTCACGCGATAAAACAGAGAGCGAATTCCTCGAAGACAGAATCTGAGACTCCAAAATAGATGGACCATAGGTTCTGTTCATGGGGGATAGAGATGGGTTTGTGAAGGCCATTGAGCGGGTGGAACTGGAACGGAAATCGTCTACATGTGGAGGGAAAATGCAGCTTAATAACCAACGCTGAAACAAGTAAAAAATGGCAAGACAGTTACCCGTTGAGCCAATATGCATGCTTCATCAGTTCAATTCATAAGAGGTAAAACGATATGAACTCAACGCGACTAGCGCTAATAGAGTGTCTGTAAAAAACTATGTTATGGCAATAAATACTAACGACGAAAAGAAAGAGGTACGGTGGGACAGAATGATGAAAGGTTTACCTCTGTCTCTGGAAATTGCACTGTAAGAACTATTATCTTCAGGGATTGGGGCCCCGAGCGCAAGTCGACCGGAAAATTTGGAGTTAACTAGGAGATCTTCCACCAAGCTATTCACCGCAAAATTGTGATCCGGAGAAAACGCAGAGCCATGAGTTGATGCGTGACCCAATGGATTGTTCGTGCTCAAACCACCATTGGCATTACCATCAAGCAGTTCCTCTTCCTGTAAGAATAGAAGTAGTCAAGTAAACAAATTGCGCTGTGAGTAAGGCCTTTCACTTCTCTCTCATTCACCCCTTCATCTTTCGTGTTACCTCGTTCCAGATTTAGACGGAACTCGATAAAGGACGGTGAATTAGCGAAAGCCTGCAGAAAAAACGTGGCAACAAGATGGAATGAGAAGCGATGGTGAGAGCGTGCAAGTCCATGTTAGTGGAGCAGCAAAAGCGACGATAAGCGACTTGCCACCCAAACTCACAAAGTAAGCCGAGAAATTAATGTACGGGACTGAGGAAGCCGGTTGGGGCCTTGTGGCCCAATTGATCACTTTCCGGGCATGTGGTAGCATTAACGATATTGGCCGATGCAACATATTCTGCTAGTGCAAGATAATGACAGTCAGAAAGTAAACCTTTTGGACCTCCCAGTCCCCTACAGACGTGATCTACCGAGCTGGCTAAGTGGTCAGGACTCAATACATCACTAGAACTAGTTGTGACAATAGTGAAGAATCCTCTAGCACTGACAGTTGCGTAGGATCAGAGCACCACATACTTTCTCCTTCAGATTGTTGATAACGGAAAAAGAGTGAGCAGCTAGGTGATGATCCCTGCTACCGTTATTCCCCGCTTTCTCATGAACCGCGACTTTGAGCACTCTTTCCTCTTCGCCAGTCTTTTCCGCCTCCCCATCCTCTCCTTCCTCTTCCTCATCCTCTTCATCTTCCTCCTCTTCCTCTTCTGAAACCTGCCTCAACGAGGCCTTCCCCAGGGCAGCTCCGTCAACCAAGAGGCAGTGATTTTCCCTGAGGTACCTTGAGCCTGGTGCCAAGAAGCCATGTCTTCGAGGCAGCATTACCTTGAAGCAAATGAAAGTAAGGCATAAAGAGTGAAGAAAAAAGCGAGAAAGTGCTCACAGCTGTGTCACGAAAATTGTGATTTGAGTGAGAGTAGGAAGTTCCAACGGCAGACATGGTTGTAGAGCGCGAAAGGGAGGTAAGATCAGGGATTATGAAGACTTGTGTGATAGTCGACAGAGGTTCGCATGGTCGTTGACAAGCAGTGGATTTGACATCCGGGTTGTGTGATGAGGCCATGGAGTGTTGGCCGATATCGCATCTAATTCAGTGTTTCGGCTAATCACATGTAGTAGAAGGCTTCTGGCTTAAACCAATGAACACATGCCCTGGCATCAGAATGGTTGGTCTGTTTTTAGCTGGTTGGCTGACCGCATGGCCGTTTAGCGCGCATTATTTTGTTACCATGACAGCGTAAACGTCGTGGCTACGCCTAGTCAGTCCAAGTATTACTTGGAACGCAAACACAGGCGCTGAAGCACCCATAGGAAGTAAATGTAACAGGTGCGTACAGCTATAACACATGGTAAGCAATGAAATCATGCATGGTGGTTATTCAAGCTATGTTTACACTGACACTGGCTCAAAGGGGTGGAAGATAGATAAACAGGGAGTGAAATCGCGAGTTAATTTATAAACTAGAGATCAAATTGTGACTTAGACGTAGACATACATTTTCAGAGGTGTCAATCAAATCCATAGTGACGTCAACCGATTGCTGTCCGTTCTTGAGCAAGCCTAAAATTGTGAATGAATACAAAGTTATACACAAGACATACCAAAGTATCCTGCTCCCCAAATCTTGCGAGTATCAAAATAGATCTGATGCCAAAACAAACGGATAAATATTTTTGTTGCTTTTGGTATCACTCAATTTGCCAAGGGATGGAAGTGGAGAGAACTTTCGTTGGCATTTCCTGAATGCATCCAATTTTTAGTTGGCAATATCTGCTAAACAGATGCTGAGCAAAGTAGTACTGTAAGTTATACGATAGATTTGGTGCTAGCGTGCTCAAGTCTACCGATGGAAAATAAGTAGAGTACGTAGACGTCACAACGCTGTTGGGCGCAAGCCCCACCATCATCAGCAGCAGCGGTGACACAGGGCGCAAAAGGTGACCTCCTTAAGTGATGCAGCTAGAAACTCAGAGGTAATACAATTAAAGCACGACGTCATCAACAATCACCAATGGCAGCTTTTGTCACTGGGAAAAACCCATTCTGGCAGGGGAATTTAAAGAGGGGAGATCATTTGTTGGATTGGCTAAACTTCAATTCTTCGACAAAGGCGAAGAGAATGTACCGGCAGCATATTGGAAGACAAAAGTACCATGACTGAGACAGTAGTTACCTTTCCAATGTGCACTAGTGAAGGAGTGAAATGCCACCCTTTTATTCTCTCGTTCAAACTAAAAAAATTAACCGTCGAGATTTGGCTCTATGCAAAATGAACTTTATTTTACACAACTAAATAAATTTCCGAAAATCAAAATTCGGAGGGCCATTGGCCTCAAAAGCATGTTTGTGACTGAAAATGAACTCGTGATGAAGAGGCCAACAAAGTGCACAAGCCAAATTCGGAGTCGGCATTGGGTCATGGATAGCGCCCATGCTATTAGAAGGCAGTAGCCTTTTAACCATTACCTAAAGCTGAAATCACTGAACGCCAAGGTGTAACAAGATTATAACAACAGAGCATGCCGAAAGAAAACATAGTGATAAACGAGACAAACGCTTAATAAGTCTTCTGTGCCTTTGGGATGACCGTGGGCAGCAAATCGTAGAATGACAGTTCAAGCGAGACCTTCGAGTACCATAAGTGGGAAGCATGTTCCATGTGTATTTAAAAAAAAACTAGCATAAGTGTTGTCCGAATAATAATGACCAAGAAGAAGGATCCAGACATGTCTTTATCCTTATGATGACTCAAAGGAGCAGGAGCACAAATGCGATTACACAAATATCTTTCAGCTTATGAGGCAGAGCATGCGCACACGCGCGTAGGCATTAGTTGCATTTGTGATAGAGCCAATGCCAAACATTCCGAAACGATGGCGGAATTTGATTAAAAACAAGTTTACATGACCCTTGTCAACTTATTAGAACATAAAATGCGCCGCATTGCTGCCACAAATGGCGGTGCAGTCCTGCTACCATGGCGGCAACAACTCCGCCCTCCAAAGACTATCAGCATGAGAATCGGTGCATAACCACAAAAATCTGTAGCTTTACAACCAAAGGTCACCTATTTGACAGGCGTAATGGCAAAGCATTTAAGGTATAAGGATTAGGAAAGGAAACAAGACGATGTCTACCTCACACAATCACATGGTTGTAAGGTTCAGAAGAACCAATTCGATTTAACTGAAAGCCATTCGTCGAGTGGATGTGCGATAGGTGCCAAGTTTATAGGCTTGCTGCTGCAAAGCGATAGGAGGGTGTTTACCATTACGATGTGCAGACCTGCGGGTTATAATATAGGTGGTGATGGTACACTGAGAGCAGGAGTGGCCACACCACGCAAGGCGACCTCAGAGACGTAGAGCTAAGCAGATTTGGCGGTAGCGCGAAGCGTGGAGCCAAGACAGCTTGATAAACAGGCGCAACCACAGTTCAGACATCGCAGCCACTACTACCCATGTCACGTGTCAAAGAGACCAAAAGGAATCTGGGTGACTGCATTCACGTGACATGGAAACAAAATCCTAAGCAAATTTACTCGAAGAACGCAAAATAGTCATGTCAAAAGGGCACTATTCCTTAAAGAAAGGAGAGGATAAGCGTTATTGAGGTGCATCGACGTTAGTGTTTAGTAAAATGCACACTAGTAGAGGTCGAGTAATCCAAGCATGTACACACATGCATGTATATACGTACATAACCGCTTAGTGGACTGGAAGGTCCAGGGGAATTAGCGGAAAGTTACTCATGGAACACCTCTCAATATTCCACAGTGAGGCTTTACAAGTTTGCAAGAAATCAAACTAATTGAAACTATTTACTGAGAAGTGAGTAAAAGAAAGACGAAGTCAAATAACCACAGAACAAGGACTATGCTACCAACGCACGAGACGTTAACGTTCGGGGAATCCCTCATCGAGTCAATTGGGAGCACAAAGCGAACTCAGATCATGCATGACAATGAAACCACACAGAAGGAGGTGGTGAATGTTTCAACGGCTGCTCCAACGCAATGGAAGGAAAGGCTTGAATGCAACTTCAATTCACATTTCCACACTTTTGGTTCAGGCACAAAACGAAGGACTGAGAGACATTTGTTTGTGTGACTTAATTTCTAAAAGTCAACGTGAGAACGGAAAGAATAGGAGATTTTGGCACCGTGTCAAATAAACACTTGTGCCGGTGCATGTGTTCAAGTATAGGTTGTTTCAACTTCGGATGGATTAATCAAGAAAAGGAATGCCTACCCTAAGTCAACCGAGGTCGATAAGCTAAATGTTATTACAACTTTTCTACCATTGACCATGGAAACAAAAAGAGAAGGAGCCGCACCTGTCCTTTAGCAAGGGATGCCAACAGGGGGCAGATGAAGCACACTTCCATAAACCACGACGATAAAGGAAGGTCATTTCAGCACGCAAGACCAAAGTTTGTGTGGAAAAAGATAATAAAATAATGGTGCACATGAAAGATTATAGCATATTGTGGTTGTCTTTGGATACGCTACTTCAAAAATAGAAAGTCAAGAAGGATCGCCTAAGGGTGCTAAAAAATTGACAACGCTTAGTATCTAGAACTCCAAATAATGGTGCAACTGTGATCGAAAAGGTATATTCATTGAATAAACACATAATACTTGACACAAGTTCGTTTTCGAACGCTAGGTAAAGTAAATAGCAAATAATAAATGCCCCACTGTTTATGATCATAAAGCAAGCATCCACTCTAAGTGCGCAAATTAGACAGACAGTTTCACAATGCATCAAATTTTTCGCAAAAAAAAATGTAACATGAAAATCTCCGCCTAATGACACATAAAAACGAGTCAGAGTTTATGAAGCTGGGTGGATGAGCGATTTTAATGGGGCCAGAAAATCAGCGGTGATACAGCGCTGAGTTAACTTTTCAAATGTTAGGGGCTGATAAAATCCAGAGGCATCTCACTTAACTCCCTTACCTAGAGGATGAACCTTGATCTCATTTGAGTAAATGTGGATGAGCTAAAGCCAAAAAGGAATGCAGTTGACTGTGAGGCTGTAAAATTCAAGGTAATTTATTCAACTAGACAGCGGAGTCCACCGACTTAAACGTAAGGAAATCGGATGAAAACAGGAGTAAGACGAATCGAAAGTCCAATGTGCAGTTGGTCTTGCCAAAATAGAGGTCAATATTCCTCTGTGCATTGACACATGGCATTTCTCAAGTAACGAAGTGGAGTTAAAATTATCTCCATGTCCATGGGAGATTTGTGTAACAAATGAACAAGACCGACAACTGTGGAAGAAGGCACCAGTGCTCACAAAAATACAAAAAAATACAAATACATCACGAGGAACTCAATTTCCCCATAAAGAGGATACTAGTACAATTCTCAATACGAAGCCCAGACAAAAACCACTGGGCGTAAAACTCGATTCCAATGCCTACATCATGGAATATGTATATCCAAAGCAGTCTACAAAAGTGAAACAGGAACTTTGAACCACGAAAAGCTGACAATTTTAGAACAACCCACCCGCTGGAAGACAACAGATTGTCTCACAAAGGCATCTTAATTAACTTGGAACCATTAGTTCTCAAATCTGACACAATTAGCCGACCTCGTAGAGCAACCATGAGCGAATAGCAGCTTTTCGCTATACTGTACAAAAGCCACGTTACGCAGTAGATAAGTAGTAAGAAAGGCACAAGCACGCGTTGATTCCGAGGCGAAAAATAGGGTGCACAATACGTTGTCTCTAATCAGGATGTAGGATTGTACTGCAGGAAGTGCATGACAACACATCTACTCGCAAAAATTCATCTTGAATCCAAGTAGACACGAAGGAAAGGCGTAAGAGTATGTATAGAACACTCACAAACTTAGTGCCAAATACTACGCTGTAGAACACTACCACGTTTGGAGCTTACAACATTTCAGAGTTGTGTAGATCAGGTAAAAAGCTCATCTTTCGGGACAATTGAGACAATTTGCAACGTGAAACCCATCGCAAAGAATAATGAGAAAAAAGAGTAAGTGCCTAATTTAAACTGAGACATCCCAAAATAGAAGGGGGCAAAATCAGATCAGCTTTATAAGTGATATATAAAAAATCCAATGACAAATCTGGAACCTTAATCCAATGGGGACCCCTAATTAATTCACAAATAAAATTTTCAAGGCCATTCATAAAAAACTTTAAATGTCTCAAATACTAGATCGGAGATGTGTGGGATAGAAGGATTACCATAAAATAAAAATGGTGCTAAAAAGGTACTAAAAATGCTAGACTTGTAAAAGAGTACAAAAATGCACTCAGTCAACAAAGGTGAATGGAAATCTCCCAAAGCTAGGAGTCAATCTTGTGTGTAACAACAAAAGACAGCACAAACATCAGCCGAACATAATTTTAAACAAGTTGCCTTGGTAAAACAGCAGAAAAATATAAGTTGCGTTAGAAATTATGGTTTTTCCACAAGGCTAAGTTCATAGCCCAGGTTAAAAACAATTCCTCCGATAACCCTCAATGTGGCAGCATCAAACTTATAGTGACAATTTCAAAAAAACGTCCATGAGAACGTTTCGTTAAAAACTTTAATCAAAGATTAGAAATAAATTGAAAAAAATTGATGGCGTTTAAACAGTACGAGAGAACTGGGAGCAAGCCCACACCACACATGATTACCATTCTCATGATTTTGAAGGAAAGCGCGCAAAGCCCTTTTGAAAAATTGGTTCCTAGCCCGTGTCCTACCTTTAGAATTATAACAGAAATACAGCAAAAGACGCATAAAAGTGAAGTAAGTTTAGAATACTTGACGCAAACTGGCTCAGGAAAAATACACTTACGACGAATGCAATTGCAACTGCAACTGATTTCCGCGCTTGCATCGTACGACCTTCAAAGTAGCATCGACAGTTTCTCATCCAGATACAACGAAATACTTTTCGCTTAATGTGATCTCTCATGACACTCTTCGTGTAATTTTTAGGCGAGTATTACAATAATTTGCACAAGTAGAAGACTTTTGTTTTCCTTTAATTTTATTAGGAGTTTTCGGTTATTTGATGCACGCGGGTGAGCGCTACATTTATTTTGAACGATTTGTGGTCACATTACAAGGATTATACTAATCGAGTAATGCAAGATTTACACAGTGTCTAAGGTGTTTGATCTTACTCTTGATTTATAGCTTCGCAAACCACTCCACATCCCATCGGCCAAATCATTCAAAATACCTGTAGAAACTGTCAAAATTGCTTATTAAAACGGCACATAGGAGTTGTAGCGTCTCGAGGCTTCCCATAGAGTTGTAGACGGCATAAGTGAGGTTGAATACGTGCATTCCGAAGACAACAGGAGAAATGGGGCCTGAGCGTGGCCCGTAGGCCAGCCCACGTGTACAAGGACCAGACAAATTCTAAAGTGACTGTCAAACGTCAGGTAGTTACATAAACAAGGCATTGCAGAAGTGTCAAAAAGAATTTGAATTTTTTGTTGTAGTGCTTTAGTTATGTGACCACATGGTATTTGGCGGCCACTTTAGTATTTGCCTGGCCCTTGAACATGTGGGCTGGCCTTCTGGCCACGCTCAGGCCCATTTTCCTTGTCGTCTTCAGAATACTTGTATCCAGCTGCATTTGATGACTTATACCGGCTAGGAAGTCTCGAGACGCTACAGTTTGGATGCTTTTGATACAAACTACATGTAGCATCTCGAGATTTCTTGGCTGGTACAAGAAGTCAGTAGGTGAAGTTGGATACATGTAGTCCGAAGACGACAGGGCAAATGGGCCGGGGTATGGTCCGGAGGCCAGACCACGTGTTCAAGGGCCAGACAAATCCTAAAGTGGCCGTCAAACATCAGGTTGTCATGTATACAAACCATTACACAAGCATATTCAAGCTTTCCCTATTTTTGTGATAGCACGGGAGATGAACAAATCCATAAGTACGGAGCTTTCACAGTTAATGCTAATGTTGTACGTGCAGTATCACAGAACATTCCGCTCTGTATCATGGGCATAATACTTTGTTGTATAGGTATATTTAGAAGTGTGGCTTTATTTCAACCAAAATGTAATGCGACAGCACACCGACCTACTTATTATTTGTTACTCCAATAGGGGAGAAATTTTCTAAGATCTTTACGCACTTCCCAAATTAGCCGACCTTCGTGCACCATTGCCAGATGATATTTCCTAAATATTTGTCGAGTTGAAGACCAATTATTGGTTTGTCTGCTGACGCGCGACGCTACAATTCCCAACATCTCGAAGGCATTTCAATCAATCCTGCTTGATCAGCACTGCGTACTGGTCCTTCTTTATTAAGAACTGGCTGTAGAACTTGCGAAGTTCACCGAAACCTCAGTGTGAGCATGGAACTGGCCACGACTACTGACCACAGAGCTATACAAACCATAGCTACAACTGCGACAAATTTTAGCCCTAATTTATTGCATTTGCATCAAAACTTCTGCCTTCTCCAGCCTTGTTAGAAACATAGATGGATTCCACAACTCTATTTGACAAGCAAACCGGGCACTTGAAATGCATTCTCATCATCTACTGGTCTCCTGTTGCTCAAAGAGTGGATAATGCGCAAGAGCTTCGCTCCAGGTGACGATCCCGTTAGTTAGATCGCTGACCAGATCTGGCAAATCTTCAATCTGAAGAAAAAAGTAGAAATGAAAGGCATGACAAGTATAGTAATATTTAATTTGCATGAATATGCAAAAATAGAGTCTTGCCACCATGCACCCGAATTAGGCTAAAAGCATCCCGACTGAGGAAACTACCAGAGATGAAAATGGAACATCCCATACATTGAACCTTCCGCAACGGGACATTGCAACATCACTTACCGGGACGCGAATCTGCTTCATAGTATCTCTTTCCCGAAGAGAGGCTGAAGGTGGTTTCCGATTCACCGTGTCGAAGTCAACAGTAATACCATAGGGGATGGCAATCTGATCGGTGCGAGCATAGCGACGGCCAATGGAGCCACCACTTTCGTCCACGCGATGTGAGATACCCACACGTGTCAAGTGTTTGGCTAAATATGAATTTCAATTGTTTTAATCGGTTGGGTGTCACTAATAATACCCAGTTCGACTGATCTTATGGAGGTGCAAAGTTGACAGGGTAAGAAACTTACACAGATTACGCACAAACGGCACAAAGTCCGGATGGGAGGAAAGTGGAAGAACGGAGCACTTGTAGGGTGCTATAATGGGCGGCAGGGAAAGAAACTACAAGTGGGAACGAAGAAACCATATTATTTGAGAAAATTCGGCAGATAAGATTAGTGAACTAATTTAAAATGCGTCCACCATGAACACAGCGAGATGAAATGGAAAATTGGAAGCAATATCGATTGACTTCGGTGTTATGTGCACCAATGATTCGTGCCGGGTAAAATTTGGCAATAAATAACGGTGCTAAAGTTGAAACCCAACACTTAGCAACACGTAGGGAGCACGCACTGTTCTCTGTTCATCATTCTCGCGGGTATGGAAGTTCTGCTCCAGAATGGCGTACATGATACGACCGATACCAAAGGAGGGTTCTATGACGCTAGGCACGACCTCTTCAACTACAAAAAGGGACGTCCCGTGATTAGGAGAACAAACGTCAACATCGAATGAGCACGGTAAGTCTGCATCACCTACCATGAACACGCACATCCTCCTCCCTTATCGTAACCATGTCAGTTGTGATTTCAAATTGAGACCCATTGACGGAGAGGGTATATTTGCTAGGAAGAGTAAAGGCAAGCCGAATTCAGTGGTATGCATCAATTTCTAAGCTGCTGCCACGGCTCAACCTCGAGAGGCGACATAATACCAAACCTTCATTCAAGAAACACATTTAACAATAACAAACTGTGTGAAGTTGAATAAAAAAATGCACCCCGATTTAGTAAGCGATTCCTTGATCTTGAGGTTTTCATCGTGTGAAAGTTTTTCAAAGGAATTCAGGATTTGAGCAGCCTCGCCACGATACGTTCGACCAATTTTCGCCTTGTTCAGTACACATTTAACATCGTGTACTGTTACCTGTCGGTTGTGAAAAAAAGCTAAAATAAGCTTTCATTTCAAATGAATGAATCCACCAAAAGGTCCACATGTTGCTATCATTACTGTTGCAACTCGTAGTCGCGAACTCCACATTTACACACAATTTTGTTGGAACAAGAAGTAAACTGTAACGCTGTCACATCTGGTGCTTCACTTTTCTTTTCTATTTGTCTTCGCCACCTTGTTTGAGACTGTCTGGCGATGATGCCGGACAATGTTTACGATCCAATCACTCAAAATTTCGGGAAGTGTTAGCAAGAGAATACAGGTAAAAGAGATCGGGATAAATCAGTCAGCATCTGTTCTTGAGTGAGCGACCATTAATTTCAAAGAACCACAAAGTTTAAGGCTATTTCATCCTACTGACACATCGCAAACTTAAATGAGCTACTTACACAGGCTTGAGTTCGAGTTTACAAACAAGCAGTTTACTGGAATATGTGTTGATAGAAGGCACAATAAATCGCATCAAAGTAATACAACAACGCTCTATAATGAATTTAAACAATCACAAGCATTTCACAAGTTTTGGCATTAATGCAAAGCTGTCACTATGAGTTGTGCTGGGTATCCCACGAAATTTTGACCATCTGATGATCAGGGCAATGTTACTTTCTCCGGAAGGCATACCGGTTAGAAAAGCTTACCGGCTCGGGCAAAGGTTTCACAGCCACAAGACGTACACCAGTGGCCTCTTGGTGTTGAGTTAGATCATAGCAACTGCGATCCGCACAACCAACACACTCAATCCATCCATACGTGGTGAGACATTCGGCATCCCAGCAGTCGCGCGCATAGTGCGCCATCTCATTCTTCATGTGTTGCCGGAAGCGACACCGATCCGGCTTCACACCCACCATGTAGAGGAAGAGAAAGATGCGAGCCATGAAGTAGCCCAATGTCTCATTTGCAATTATACCCTAACACGGAAGAAAAAAATCATCCCTTGCGATAATCCAACAACTGGGATGTGGTTATGATACCAATTCCAAGCCAGGCAGTTTCTGTGCCTCCATGGCTTCAATCGGGAAAACCACACTTCCCATCTCCGGTTGTTTGGGTACCCTTCAGCAGGAGAATATAAGCAAATCCACATGACTAAAACTTAATCATCTAAGGCTATATCCAAATTCCGCTATTTGATTTATTTTGTTTCATGAGAACAACCGAGTTTTTAGTCCTTGTAAGTTGAACTTCATAAAGAGGTTAAAAGTACAGATTTTAAACTACAATCTACTGTGCAATGGCTTTATATCTAGCATTGGCAGGAGTTTAATCAAATGGACGATATTCTTCGTCGTGCATGCATTGCACCACTTCAAATAAGGCCTAATTTAGACAACACCTTTTTTTCCGATTGACACCCATGAATTTCACTTTAAATATGATAATAGTTCGCATTACAACTGCACCCGAAACATATCAGCTTTCACATCCTTTAAGTTCAGCCTGCTTATGGATTCCGTACATTGTGATCCAACCATTTTAAGCTAATGTTGATTTAAAGCCCTTACAAAATACGCATAAAAACAAACTCCGGCTAACCCTTTCAATGGCATCTTTAAGTGAGATTTCCTGAGCTGACTTGCCGTCCATTTGATCGCAAGCAGAGAAGAGAGGAAGCTTAAGATCAGCATACTGCGCAAATTTTGGATGAGACTTGTCCTTGGGATCCACAAAGTATTCTATTTCGGCCATTGTAAATTCACGTACTCTAATCACGCCAGAACGTGGACTAATTTCGTTTCTGAAAGCTGAACCAATTTGGGCTGCACCGAAGGGTAGTCGACCTTGGTTGAACTGAAGTAGACGTTGGAAATTCACGAAAATCCCCTGCGCTGTTTCAGGTCTCAGGAACCTAGATTATCATGAATAACCAAGGTATATCAGATCAAAGATGATCAAAAGCATTTTAGCAACCAGTTACTAGGTTACAAGTTGAAAAAACTAATTCATAATGAAGGGCAAAGCATTTGTAATAAGAGATACCAACCCTTGGCATTGGCCAGTTGGACCAATGGATGTAGAGAACATAAGATTGAACTTTTGCGGAGGTGTCAAATCGTTCTTAGTAATAGGTGATTTGATAGAGTAACGAGCTATCAGTTCCTCCAAAGCATCAGCGCCATAACCTTCTAGCTGAAAAGACAAACTGTAGGTTCCATAAGTGTACTTGCAGATAAAACTCAAATTAAGTGGGTGCAAGATTACCTGTGACAGAGTTTTGTCAATTTCGGACCTTTCAGCCTCACTTATATGCTTGGAGATGCGAATGGCTTCAAGTGCTGACTCAATGAGATGATCGGCGCGGAAACATTCACCAGTTATGACATCGCGAACCATGTAGTCCGTGAAGCGTTCCAAGTGACCAGATGCCTTTAAAACACATTCGGGAGTTAACATGGAGCAATCGACTTCCAAAAGCTGCTCCTCAAGAACAAAGAACTGTCTCCACGCGGCCAAAAGATTGGCCTTGATGGCGCAGCCGGTTGGACCATAATCATAGAGACCTTGCACACCTACGAAAACATAGGATTAGACACCTCCACTATTAAAGAGGCTCACTTACCTCCATAGATCGAAAAAGACTGATCATATACAAACCTCTGTTTAAGCAAATCCTCCAACTTCGCTCGATCAATTTTGTGGTCCTTTTTTGTAAGTTCCAGCTCCTAAATCTTTGTAAATGTAATTAGGCGTCTCAACTTTTTCTTCTAGCAGCTTCTTCTTAGCTTTCAGTTCTGCAACAGCACGTTTAATCTCCACATCGTTTGCTTTTTCTGATTTCAACCGCCGAACAATATCGCCCTAGGTCTGTAGGAGCAAAGAAACCTCGTACCTGTGCCTGCACGTCAGCACGAAGTGGAGCTAATACCTTTTCAACATCAATCATTTTCGCAGACAATGGATACTTGTTTAAATAAGAGTCAAGAATCACACTACACCACCGATGATAGGCGTGACCAGTTGCTGCAATAGTCTGTCGAAAATAATCTGCTGCACTTGAAATGTGGATAGCTACACGTGTGCAGACGCCAGTGAGCATAGAAGCCAAAGCGAGTGATCGGGCTAACGCATACCATTCGCATTTAACATCGTCAATTCACAATTGAACTTGTTGAGCTATGAACCACACTTACTCGACTTCCTTTAGGAATAGTGCTCACTTTAACAGCTAGGCTGCCTCTGCCAGTTGGGCTGGTCTTTAGGCCATACCAAGGCTTCGCTACTTTCCGACTCACTGCAAATAATCGACAAAGCCTTGCGCTTTTAATTAATTAGTAGAAAATCATGAGATGCCAAATAGTTATTCAAAGCTTACGCGACGTTTACATTAGCTTCCCATGTGCTCTGAAAAAATGAATTTATGCTTATTTAAAATAGTTAAGCTTAACAACTAGAAAGTGTACATTACGGGGTACATTACCCTTAACATCATTTTACATTTTCGTATCTGATTATTTACACACTAAGTGGTTTTTCTAAAATAGGATGTTTAAAAACAGCTCATATGCAACTGCGATTTTGCAGATTGCATTACTCTAAATTTAATAATTAAAATCGATCGAGAATTAACTTAATTGCAGTTTTGCCAAAGAGCTGTCTATAATAGTAATTTCTCGTTAAATCACGCAAGCGTTTAAAGATTAGCATATTGTTTTTAAAGATCGGAAGATGCGACATTAACTTGTTGTACAGGGTGCGGAAATATTCAAGGCTCATTTGTTATTCGTTGGTTATACCAACCAGCACACTGCCTTAACAGCCTTGTGATTGCAGGTGGGCTTGGTCGCCATCTATTTTGCGTTAACTGTGCATCCTAACATAATGATAATTTACACAAATTTGTTCTACTGTTGTTTGTTAGCTTTTCACCCAACTTGATTAGAATGCACCTTCACCTCCATTTCTTTTGGTTTTACGTTCGTGTGTTCATCGTTTATGATAACTTCGTTTCTTGTTTCATTGCTTTTTATGAGAGCTTTTCTTACATTTTATCCTTTTCCTTTGGAATGATTTTTGAAATAGGCAAAAAATTAGGATGTCGCGTCGTGGAGGCCGTTGGGGTATGAATTTTATTTCTGCCAGTGGCCCACAGTCACATTTGTCGATGAACAGTCTGCAGACTACTGAGGTGGCGGCTCAGGGGCTGCAACAGCGCTCGAACGACCCCTCAAAGATTAGATCCTCCGCCTATCCACCGCCTTCCTCATTTGCCGGCGCTCCTCCGAGAGCACAGACCTCATTTGCTCCTGGCTACAACCCCCAAAGGACTTGTAGCGGTAGCTCTCGCGCATTTTCCCATCTCGGCAAACGTCGTATGCAGGATGATGATGAGTGAGTTTGGCTGTTATTTGCACTTCTGATGCCGTGGTAGTGTGATTTTTTATGCATGGAATATCTAATTTTTTTAAACTTGGGAACACTGTGTCCCATTTAAAATTGATTCAATTCCAAACATATTTTTTACCTGGGTGCATGCTACTATCTTGGGCTAGGTGCGAATATGCATACGAGTGTACTATCTTGAAGTGCTTTTACTTCGTCTTCGATATTACCTTTGGGATTGATGTTTGATGCGTGTGCATAGATTTAGAAGTAGTTTTTTTCTATAAGCTTGCTCTGCAGTCCTTAAAATGTGAATATTTCTTACTCAATAATCTTGGATGAATGCTACGTGTAATACATTAACCAGTCTCACCCAAGGTTTTTGATGTCGCACTCTCAAGGATTGATTGTAATAACGCCTTCAACTTCAAGGATTTCGTTGTAGATGCAAGTTTATGTCCACACTCGCCAATTAGGCTGAAATATTGGAAAACAAGTTATTCCACGAAGATTAGTGCTCATTATTTTTAGTAGCTGATTTCTGTACGGCATTTTTTTCAAGTCAATGATGCACAAATAGATTACGGTACCGAAGTTTAATTTACGTGTTTCTATTTAAATACCACGAAATTTTGACAATGGAAAATCATATTAATTTCGATCAAAATGATGGTGATGGCATGCCTTCTCTACATGTTTTAAGCATTTATTCATAACGTTCGTATTCATTTAGCTCAAATTAGTTGCACTCAATACAATGGAGCTTCATCTAGTTCTAATGGGAGGAATTAGTTGCTTGACTCTAAATTATCTTTAAACTATCCTCCGATGTTGTTGAGAGGAGTCGTTTCAATTCTGTCACATAATGGCCAACTCATTGATGGCTTGGTTGGCAAGGTGGCAAACTTCCTTGATTTATGTTTTACCTACTAGCTACTTTAACGATGATGAAGAGAAGGACGAGGAGTTGGAGTATCTGCCTGCTCCCGGAAGCCCCGCGGCGCAAGGCAGTCGCGGAGGTAGGGAGACTGGAAGTCCTGTTGCCAGGGCTGCCGACTCGGACGACTCTGATGATCCTTTGGATAAATTCATGCAAGGAATAGAGGTAATTGTTCTGCAAATTGAGCTGAATCCAACAATGCTTATATTTCTTCAACTATGCATTGGCTTACAGGAAGAAGTGGATAAATTGAAGTCAAACGAAGGGAAGAAGAAGAAGGAGGATAATGATAGCAAGAAGACAAAGAGGTACCTCATTAGTTTTTTCCTTGTGGTCGTTTAATCGCCATCTCATTCGTGTTTATTCAAACAGAAATGTTCGTGATGACATTGAACAAGAGGATGAAATGGAGGCGTATCTGCGATTTATGGAGGAGAATCCCAATGTGGGTGTTGTCGGGGACGAAGATGAAATATACGAATATGATGAGGAGGGGAACGTCATTTCAATGGAGAAAAAGGTGTCATAACCTCCTTTCATCCCTTTTTAAGCTTTTCACATCACCTTTTCACAGCTGTTATCTTCTGTGCGTTTGAACTACTTTTAGACCATAGATCCCTTGCCTCCGGTTGATCACTCCCTCATTAACTACGCCCCCTTCAGCAAGAACTTTTATATCCAACACCCTGATATCACAGCATTGAGTGAGACGGGTGTAATGGATTTGCTTAGGAAGCTGAATATTCGTCTGAGTGGCATATCACCCCCACGGCCCGTCTGTTCTTTCGCCCACCTCAATTTGGATAGCGCATTAATGGAAGCCATCAGACAAGCGGGCTATACGCAGCCCATGCCCATTCAGGCTGCTGCTGTGCCCGCCGCGCTTTCAGGACGCGATATTGTGGGCATCGCTAAGACTGGAAGCGGGAAAACTGTTGCTTTTCTCTGGCCGATGGTCACTCACATTATGGCTCAGGTGCGTTCCGCACCCACTTGTTGGGAACCGATCCCATTGACCGGCACTGGCGATAGCCTCACTACGAGCTAATGAAAAACCTGTAAAGTCAAATGTATGCATTAAGTAAGCATTGTTCTCCCCACAATACCCCAAAACTGCTGCTGAATGCATAAAGTAGTTCAGAACTCGCAATTTTTCATCGACTACAAGGGGTTCATGGGTCCCATAAAAATGTTATTTGGACATCCGACAAAAATTGGGTCAGATTATCGAAGTCATGCGGGGCTTTCAGCCCCTTCAACTTGCGGCTAGCAGTTGGTTTTAATATATTGATGCGTACTATGTAAAAGCACTGGATTTCTTTCAAGACCGTATTAGTCTACGATACCGATGTAGAAGACAACAGACTTACACTTAACTGTGTCGTAACTGACTTTACTTGTTCTAGCCCGAATTGAAACTGGGAGATGGTCCCATCGGAATAGTGTGTGTGCCTACCCGTGAATTGGCCATCCAGATCTACACAGAAGCCAAGAAGCTGGCCAAACTTTACAACCTCAATGTGGTATGTGCCTATGGTGGTGGAAGCATGTGGGAGCAGCAGAAGGCGTGCGAGGTCGGCTGTGAAATCCTTATTTGTACGCCGGTCAGTTGCCGCATTTGCTATCTTAAAATAACTACTTGCAGCAGTCGTGCGATTGGTTTCATTTCCTTCTTAAGGGCCGATTAATCGATCTGGTTAAAAAGAAAGCAACGAATCTACGTCGCGTCACATTCCTTGTCTTTGATGAAGCTGACAAGATGTTTAATCTGGGATTCGGTAATTTTAAATCTTCATTGTATTTAAACTCACCTTAAAACCTGTAATTGTACTTTCCTTCATTTCCAGAACCGCAGGTGCGATCTATTGCCAACCATGTTCGTCCCGACAGGCAAGGTGATTCCTTGCTCTCAGTTAATATCGCATGTCTTCTTTTCATCTTTCATCATTCAATTTTTCTCTTGTTTTGATCTTTCTTAGCCCTTCTCTTCAGTGCCACATTCAAGAACCGAATTGAGCGTTTGGCACGTGATATTCTCACTGACCCCGTTCGTATTGTGCAAGGAGAAGTTGGTGAGGTAATAATTAAGACACTTTCCTTTTCTGTCCAGTTTCATACCAAGTGGTACGTCTGATAGGAGGTCGAATATCGACGTTGACTATGCTCTGGAAATGATGGCCTGTCAGTATTCTTTGCATGGATGGTTGGCTTACAGTTACTTGACATGCAAGATCTGCCTATTCCCTTGCAGGCCAATGAGGACATTACCCAGATTGTTGAAATTTTCAACAAATGGGAAGAAAAGTGGGACTGGCTTACTCGAAATGTGGTTCGCTTCACTGCAGGTAAGTGGAATTGTAAGAACTTGATGTTGCGATTGCCGTTCTTGAACTGGATACTTGACAGTCTGGCCTTCTGTTCTTGTACTCTTTTGAGTTACATTGATCCTGAAAGGGGATCTCAGGCTTGTGGCATCGTTACTGGTGTTTCATGAGTAAAGTGAGGTTATGTCTATTCCAACTTTGCAGGAGGACTGGCAGGTCAGTAGCAAAAGCTGGTGGTGGTACTCCAAGCCTAAATCACTAAGGTTTAAAAGTCATATCTGATTATAAACTCATTAAAAGTACTCCACCTTGGTAAATTTATCCACAAATAACTGTTTGGCGTAACGTCGATGGGTACCCATTTCCTACTGTAAACAGAGTTATACATTAAGCACTGACATTCGTGAGGTGGATAGGTTCAGCACATGGCTGAACTTGGGCAGTATTTAACACCCGTTCACACTTCCCTTTTCAGAGGGTAGCGTTTTAATTTTCGTGACACGAAAAGCACACTGTGTGGAGGTAGCAGAAAAGTTAAAGACACGAGACATGAAGGTCCTCCTTCTTCACGGTGACATGCATCAGTCGGATCGGAACAGTGTCATCCACAAATTCAAGCACAATGAGGCTCCCATTCTTGTTGCCACAGATGTTGCCTGTAAGTCTAAATCCCTTACGTCTACCTCTTACCCTTTGTCGTACTGGTAGGACCTTCACTTACCACTTTCACCTGACCTTAGCTCGTGGGCTGGACATTCCCAGCATCCATACTGTGGTGAACTACGAGGTGGCTCGTGACATCGACACGCACACTCACCGCGTGGGTCGTACAGGTCGAGCTGGTGTTAAAGGTACGGCGTATACTTTGTTCGTGGCAGGTCGTGACCCTGCGGACTTCGCGGCACATCTGGTGCGCCATCTGGAACTGGCAGGTCAGGTAGTTCCGCCGCGCCTCCTAGAGATTGCACGACAGTGCGTATGGTTCGCCGAGAATCGAGCAAAGGCAGCAGCTGCGCGGGCGGAGCATCCACGACCCGGCATTGGCTTTCAACCACGTGAAAGGCCGCCATCATCACAAACTGACTTCCGCATGGGTTATGGTGCCTCCGAACCTGCTTCCACTGGCTCCGCATCCTCTACTTCTACCTCTGACCTCCATTTTCCGTCCTGGCAACCTGGCTGTGGACCGGCTACTGTCGCTGCCTCTGGTGGTGGGTCGATAAGCCTTCTTGATGCGAGTTTTATTTGAATCCGAATCAGTATCTAGGCCTATGCATTATATCGGGTTTGTCAAGCACGAAATTTATGTAAAAATGCATGGGAATTCGTAGATTCAGTGTTTCATGTCGCCTTAAAATCTTTCTATGTACACTGTTTTAGCTTATCCATGCCTGGAAAATGTTTTACGCCAAGTAAAGCCATTATGGAAGAGATTTAAAAGAGCCAAATACTGTCGTTTTCTTCCAAATGATCCGCGGCAATCCAAGAAACCATTGCTTCTTGTCTGTACAAGCTGTTTTTGATTAGTTGAGAATGTGGACAACAGCAGATATGGAGACATGGCACCGACTGCTTGTCAATTGTGCTTTCATCGTCTGCGATTGGTAGGCAGAAGGCTTGGTTTACTTGACCTTGCAGTTATTTTTAGCCAATCCGACAAATTGTACGCGAACACAACTTCCGTGACGTTCCCATATGTTTGACAATCATCTGCGAATGGGAAAGTTTTCCACCGTAATTATAGGCACTGCAAATTTGATGGAGAGTCGGAGGTGGCCGCGTTTCCTACTCGTCATAAAACATCACTTGTGGATCTTAAGACACTGGTGTGTTATTATTTTAGCAAAACCCGATCATTCAATCAAAATTGTCAGTTGAGTCTGATTTTGTTAAGCTTACTGAAGTGGCAATGTGAGCAAAACACTATCTCATATATCCCCTTCAGCACACCAAACGGATCGCCTGGCGGCAATGAAGGCGGTTTTCGCGTCGCAGTACAACCGTCGCTTCGTCTCAGCGGGTGTGGAGTCTACGAAGTACACGCATCCTGAACTCCTCGGCGCCAACACCGCAAGTAGGAGTGACTCAGTTAATGAATTCCGGGTGCCCCAGGCTCCCCCTCCTTCTACAGGTGTCGCCTCAGCACCGCAAACAAAACGGAGGCGATCCCGTTGGGACTGAACACATCCTACATTTTCCATAACTCTTGATGCCTGTTGTATAACTGCAATACTTCCGATACCGTGGGTATGAGTTACTCTATGGATTCTGGATCTGATTTCGGTTGTGTCCAGATCATCTCGGTTAAAATGTCCGGTCTAGTTTAAAGTTGCCAATTTGAGATTACGAACGCATGATGTACAAAATATCGGTTTCTGCAATAATTTACTAGAATAATTTATTTTTAATAGCATACAAAAGTTGAGCTTTTAAAACCGAAGTTCAGAAAAGACACACCAAGCTTGCGATTGCTAGTGGAGTGATGAGATGGAACTCTTCCCATCCATGTTGAGTTAAACCAGGTTTGGTACAGTAGTCATGCAAGTAAACAAATGCTTTCTTGCTCAAGAGGAGTCGCATGCATGAGGTGATACTACTTTGGGGTGCTGAAATACGAAACCCTGGCAATGACCCAACGTCGCGACACGGTCATTAAATAACACTCGAGGGATAGACGGAATATCCGCATTGAGATTTGCTCTTGTTTTGACCGGACATGGCGTTCAGGGCTCCGTATTCACATCCTGCCATCATTACCAGTCTTTAAAGGCATTAGCTCACCGAAGTCACAAGGCGTCAGCTTGCAAAGGCGGACGAAGCGCCTGCTGATAAAAAATACCTGCAGGCGAATGTCGGTACGGAAGCATTGTAGGTCAATAAATAAACCCAATGTGAGATGATGACTCAACAGGAGAAAAGTTCTGAAACACGAAATAGAATGGTACCACCAAAACTTACGCATATTTTGGACATCACATATATTTCAAAGTAGTACACACTGAGGTAAGTAAAAATCGTTTACCCAAGGTTAAAAAGGTCTACTTGCTTGAGTCTGAGATTGATGGATCATTGTACACACAGTCCAGCTCTAATTGAAGTTCTTCAGCCGATATAATCAGGTCCTGTAGAGGTGAGGCAAGCCATACATTAAGTACTGGATTATCAGTGGTAGCATGATTAGAAAAAGATCAATTGCTATTCCCACTACTGTGCGAAAATACACGAATTAATGAAAATACAGAAAATCTTGGCTGAACAAGAAGCGTAGAAATTAGGGAATATCCATAGAACAATCAAGATTATCATTAATGTAAAAATAAACAAAGCGGATGATTACTAAACAGAGATATAGACGCACATTAAAAGAAATGACCAGTTCTTTTCGTCTTTTTCGGTCTTTCTCATCACCTACTGGAAGCACAATTGAATCCGCTTTCTCCAAGTTCATCATGCATTGTTCGGTAACAGCTTTGATGCCTTTCGTCTGTTTTTTTCTGACACTGTGGTCAGCGGAAGAGGTCTAAAAACAAAGAGAACGTTCAGTGAGAACCAGTACAGCGCGTTAAAAAAAAGCAATTTTACGGCCTCATATGGATGGAAGCGAGGGCTAGTACCACATAATAAACTTACAGGGCAATTATAAGTAGCCTCCAAAGAAGCGAACTGGGATTGAATAGACTTGAGAGAGACTTCCAGTTCATCCAACTTCCTGATTTCACTAGGGTCAGCAACTTCCCTCTAAAAAAAATTACTCGCACTTAGGAAACGCTGAAGTATACTCACTCCTCCAATAAGCATAACCTTTGCCCCGATTTCAATGCCAAGAGAGGACAATTTCGCACTTTCGTCAATAAGAGATCTGCCTTTGAATATAAGCCTTTGCCTCGACCGATGAATGCTAAATTCCCTTTCGACGGCATTCATCATATCTCCAACCGTCAACTCCCCGCCATTGTTGAGTTCAATTGTGTGGTGCTTCCCATCTATGCAGCAGTAGAAAAGTAAAGTCAACTCACTATGCAAAATAACTACAGAGAGCGACATGAAGAGAATATATGCAGCAAAACAACGACCAATGAAAACACCCAGCAGGCTGGCGTACAGGGTATAACACCATGCGACAATGGAACATTAACAGCATAGGACCACTAGGGCAGAAAACATCTAATAAACAATAATGTTATATTAACTGAATTCATATAAACAAAAGATTCATAATGTATGCACTCCAAAGAATGCGTTTAAGCATTCGTGACACCGCGTATAGCATCCGTTTTATATAAGATTTGCTCGTTAATCTGAAATCTTGACCACAAACATAGCCACACACCCAATGCGTATGTCGATCACTGTGTTGGATGAAGTCACAGAAAATTCCGCGTTAGTGCCTTTTTGTTGTAATGCAAACCCAACTTTTTTTTCAACTATCACTACCATAGCAGTACCGTTTGTTGCATCGGTGGCGGAGATTCTATAAAACTCTCGAACGAAAGGGTCGAGACTGACGTCTGCATTTGGCTTCAACTTATTCCAGTGTTCCAAGGCGAGCCATTAACAAATAAAACGACACCTCATTGAATCATTTGGAAAAGTTTCGCGTCGTAGTTGTAGCGTCCCGAGGCTTCCAATGGGGTGGTAGAAGGCATAAGTGCGGCTGAATACATGTATTTCGAAAGCAATAGGTGAAATGGGACCTGAGCGTGGCCCGAAGGCCAGCTCACGTTTACAGAGCCCAGACAAGTCCTAAAGTGACCGCCAAACGTCAGATAGTCGCATAAACAAAGCATTACACTGCCTTCTCTTCTTTTGAGCGACATCCTCGGCGCTCCCCTTTAATACACCTCATGCTCCAGCCATCACAACATATTCGGTACTACAAGAAAGCATCCACGAGCCAACCGCGCCAGTCGCAGACAGCGCGAGAGCAGGGAACCGTATTTGATCTTCTCGGCAGCTTCGACTGGGTCTGGAGTTTCGTTCGGTCTGACAACCAGATTCGGGGACCCCTGCATCTGTCGACCATCAATTGCTTCCAGAAATACACGGTGGAACTCTGGTCTACAACAGATATGTTTCAGGGATAAGAGCACGGGCGAGGAGATCCGTTGTGTCATTTCCGACACCTAAACACGGGTTCTGTATGGAAAATTCCCA